GAGATGATGGGAGCATGTTCCAGGGCATAATTTAGAGACTGTTTATAGAGATCAGCACTGGAAAGACAGGCTGGAGCCAAGGGATGAAGCCTCCCGAAAGCTCAACAAGAGGCCCCCATTGCTTCTGCCTAAGCTCTGTGTCTTAGCACGGAAATGACAAGGTCAGTGGGTAGAAAGCTGAGGGACATGAGCGGGGACCACAGAGTGTCCTATGGAAACGATGACTTTTAACTGCATTGACTATGGCTTTAGAATGAATACCTATTTAAGAGAATATTTGAATTTGAGAACAAAGATGCCTCCCAACACAGAAGTGAGCCTACTTCTGCAAAGGGACAGACGCTGTCTATCACCAAGGAACACTGAGACAGAAAGCTGTCCTTCCCTCAGGGGAAGCAGGCAATGGCTTCATACAAACCAGCCCAAAAGTATTAGTCTGTGGGACCCCAACAGCAGCTCTCATATTCCTGGTTTTCCATTAAGGGGCAGTTCCTTAGGTATCTGCTAGGGAAAGAAATGGTTCTGCACAGCCCACCTCTCTCCAGCTCACCTTAAAGTGCCAGTGTCTCCTAATCAAAAACGTGCCAAAGGATTGCTTGAAAATAGGCTTGTGGGAAGCCAAAAACATCCAAGAAAAATCATAGTTTAGAAACTTTTCCCTGGACAGATACAAAACCCTGTTGACCCAATTGCTCGTGGGAGACACCCTGTCAGCCTTCACATTTTAGTCTGAAAGTCCTTTCCCAGGCCACAGTGCCTCTGCATTCCAATTTTTACCCACAGAGCAATGCTGTGGGAACGGAAATTAGGAAACCTAGTGCTAGTACCTCCCTCCTTGGACTAGCTTCCAGCTCGGAGCTTCTCAACTCTAAGTTGTGGGTTGGGAGTCACCAGTCTAGCTCGGGGACTTTGAAGACTTTCCTGGATTGTAAAATCAGTGATTGCTACACAGGACTGGTTCCTCCCATCTTCTTCTCCTCTAGTGAGCAGAACTGAGGGTAGTGGGGAGGCAGCGAAGGGAGTATGTGTAGAGAAAGACTCCAAAACAGAACAGTGAAAATTCTGTCACTAGCAACTGTTACACCCCAGAATCGTGATCTGAATCCTGAAGAGACCCCTGGCCCACCCTCAAACAGGATAGGGGCAGTTCTGTGAGAACTCACTCAGCCCCACTGTGCGAGCTTGGCAGGTCCTGCCTACCCAGGGCAGTTCCTCATTGCCCAGAATCTGACCTTGACTCTCCAATTTGTTTGGCTAATTTGAATTCATCCTTCAAGTGCCAGTCAGCCTCGCTGGCTTCAGCAGGATGACTGCTCACCTTGCTGGCCTGCTCTGCACACACGGGCAACTATTAGAACCAGCTCTAAATGCTCTGGCTTCAACCCAGCTGAGAGCTCGCTCAAGGTCACAGACTAGATCCTTTTCTAGAAAACTCTAAGCTCAACACCAGGTTTCATCACGGGCCAGGTGTGTGGCCTTGGACAATGAACTGCTTCTCTGTTCACTTTCCTCTGGAAACTGAAGACAGTGACAATATTTGTCCTGTGTGGCCATCCATGTAATGGCACTCCTCAGGCATATACTTCCTCTCAGCACCTGCTAATGAGAAAGACTAACTGAACGCAAACAGTGCCTTCCTCTCTCCAATGCCACGCATGGAGACGATCAAATATGGGTTGACAACTTCTTCATGCCATCCAGGAACTTCTCAAACAATGCATTCAGTTGGTCAACGTTCTCCTCAAAGTGCTGCTCTGCTTGCTCATAAGCCACCCAGGAGGCTGGACTCAATTTAGCTCTTAGATTCCAGGACTGAAAGGATGGGGGAGACTTGCAGAGAATGAACCCCCCTTCAAAGCCCCATTACTCAAGGTATCTTCTTTGAGAAAAGACATTCTTTGGAAAGTACTGCGTTTTTTTCTTAAAGACTTCTGTATTTTCTTTAAAAAAAAATCCTTACTGTGTTTGCATTTAATGAGTAGTCCTGCAATGGTGACTCTCCTAGAAAATACCATTAAAGTAGCATTTTTTTCTTTTTTATAAATTTCAGGAATTTGGAGGTCTTTTAGTCCAACCCAAAGTCACAGAACTGAATCTGAACATTGTATAAACTCTGTCCTTCAGCCCTAATCCCCAGCGGATATGTGAACAGTTGCTTCAATTTAATTTCTTCATCTAATTAAGAAAAGGTATTCGCGTGTGTCAGTAATGCAGAAACAAAGGAGAGAAAGGCTGGTCCCAGAAAATGATGACCTCAAATGACTTCACTCGTCTTAAAGAAAGGCACCTTCAACTTAGCTCTTGGCTCGCCAATGTAGGGAAGCTCCCCTGGCGAATATGGAAGAGGCTCGTCTTCCTGAACAGCATTCCATTCTATTCATAGCCTCTGGGCTGCCTTTGATGGCAAGCACCCCAGGAATCTAAGGGGCACCTTGTTTGATCAGATGCCCTGGAGAAGTCTGAGGTCCCTGGATCATCCTGAGTGGTCCCAAAGCATGGGGGAACAGGGTAGCTGACAATTCCAGGCTCTCCAGGTCCCGTGCACAATGCGAATAAAGGCAGGACTTGAAAGTGCTAAAGTCAGACCCTGCAGCCTCAGCCCTGCATGGGCCTGGCCTGCGGCCTTCACTCCTCTGAGTCCACATTGTCCTCGAGGTCACAAAGCATGGGGTGTGGAGGGCAGCGCACGTTGGGATGACCATGTCAGTCAGTCCCTGAATAGACCTCTGGTCCCTCCTCTTGGAGACAGAGGCTCCCAAGAGGGAGGAGAAATTTGCATTCAAGAAGGTCATAGGGTCTAATTAAGAACCACAATGGGGGAAAAGCAGGCGACCCGCTCCTGACTTATGACCCTGCCTCTGTCTCGCTGTCTGGAGGCATGGTGTGGTCACCCGGTTCACGCCAGCAGCTACACTGAACAGTGTGTGAGGTCTCTGGAGTGCTGTACCCCACTGCAGGGAAGACATGGGTGCAGTGGGTCACACGCCGCACACCGGCTAACCCAGGGTGCTTATTTACCCTTACAAAGTGAATGAATTTCCAAGTGCTCCTGATTTTCAAAAGCCCCATCTGTGCCTCCCCCAGGAGGGCTGGCTGACTCATGGGCCAGGCTGCAGCTCTCTGCTCCCTGGCTTTGGAGGTTCCCTGTTCAAGACGAATGACTTCAGCATCAGGACATCTTTAGGCTGATGAGCTTTAATGCTCCAGTTCTGCTACATCTGGAAAGTGCCCATCCCATTCAAATTAGTTAGTTGCAGTGCATTTGCTCACACGGTGCTCAATCCACACAAACCCCTCTGCTGAGTGGAAGGTGGGAGCCCACAAGGAAAGAAAGAAGGTCTGACTCCAAACACCCCAGGTCCCTCTTCCCAGGACACCTCCTTATTCCCTGCACAGTAGTTTTCGCCCCATCCACTCTCCTCCTTCCCAACCACCACTGCCCACTACCAGAATCTTAGCCTAGAAATCACAGCTGTCATTGTTTGTCCCCGTCTGACCTCACTGGACATATTTCTTTGCACTCTTGCCCAAAACGTAAAAGGGAAAGAAATCCAGGAAAAGAGAAAAAAGAAAAAGAATTTACAAGGCACTGTAAATATGTGATTCAGACCAAGTCTCTTTCTGGTCCCGGGGAAAGGGATTGTCCAGAGACGGGCACTTGGACCACAGTCGTGTGGGAAAGTTCCCCACACGCACCTGGAGCCCACACCTGACTGGACCAAGCAGTTCTTTCAACACCAGGTCGCTCCAACTCCAATCAATCTCCAACCTACCAGCTCCACCTGAAGCCTGGGTCAGTATTCCTTCCTCCTAAAGCCCTCGAGACTGCCAGCTCCCTTCTGTTCACCTTCCACCCCTACTCCAAGCACCACTGATACACGGGCCACCCCATGGCCAGACTCCCCTGAGTCTGTGAACAGCGGTCCCTGGAAAGCACACTCTGCTTCATTGCAGGAGGTCTGCTTCTCCCAGAGCACAAACCGGAACTGCTGTGGGAGGTGAGGTACAGGGTCCACTGGGGAACATTCCCTGCTAAGGCTTGATTTCAACCCTTAGCAGCCTTGGGCTTGGGACAAGTCAAGCTCGCAATAGCCATTGGATAATTTTATTATTATTATTATTATTGCTGTTGATGTCATTATTAGTCATGGGGGAATCAAAGAGGCAAGCAAGAAACTTCCGGAGTGACCACTACGACCGGTTTGTAGAGATCATTAAGGTACCAAAAGTAAACCCTGGTTTGCCTCCCCCTAGGAGCCTCCAGGTTTTTGCAGTGGGCACTGGGCAGCCTCCATCCAGGCTTGCCCAAGAGGCTGAAGCCGGACGCGCAGTTTCATGCATGCAACTGGAAAGTCACTGCTCACTGCTCTGAGAGCAGAGTAAGGGACCCGAAAGGAACTCTCCCAGACACACACACACACACACACACACACACACACACACACACACACGCACACGCACACGCACACGCACACACGCACACACCTGCACAGCACCCGTCAGCCAGCAGGAAGAGAGGGGCTGTTGCGGGCGGGGAGGGAAGCAGGCGGGCAAAGCAGTTCCCCGGGGCGCCGGGCTGTGCGGAGCTGGTGGCCAGGCACCCGGCCAACTCCCGCCAGCCTGACCTTCCCGCCGCCTCCCGGCGCCCCGGCAGATCGTCCTTTCCCAGGCGTGCGCCGTTCCGCGTCCGCGGGCGGCCCCAGCACCCCATCCCGGAGGGGCGGCTGCAGAGGGCACCAGGTCCCGGGCTTTCCGAGCGCCCACGGCTCTCCTCGGGTCCCCGAGTGGCTACAGGGAAAACGGGGACCCGGGAAGTGGGGAGGAGGGGGGTTGCCCACCCGAGGAGCCCGGTCCCCGGGATCTGAGCCCCGCGGGATGCGGAGGAAAGAGGGGGGGACCCAGGCCGGACCGGCCGAGCCCCGGCCCCTCTCGGCGACGTCCCCCGCGGCCGCGCCCCGCTCGCGGTGATGCCCACACAAAGGGACGCGCGCGTCACCCACCTGGTCCCGCGCGGCCGGGGCGCTGACTCGGCGCCGATCGCAGATCCGGGCTCCGCCGCCCGGTGCTCGCCGCCCGCCGCCCGCGCCCCGCGCCCCGCGCCCCGCGCCCGCCTCGCAGCCGCCCTTTATTCCCTGCCCGCCCTCGAGCCGGGGCGCGCGGCCGTCCGGGGGGAGAGTGGGCGGCGGCGGCGGCCGAGCAGCACAAAGACGCGGGGCGCCAAGGCTCGGCCCCGAGCGCCCCCGCCCGGCCCGCAGCGCCCCCTGCCGCCGGCCCGCCGCTAGCGCCGCGCCCCGCCCTCGGGCCGCGCAGGCCGGCCAAGGGACCAGGGCATCCCCCCTCTCCACTCCCCACCTCTGCTCCCCGCTCCCGGGGATCCTGACTCTGAGGGTCCCCCAGACAACGCAAATGAGAGGGCGGGAAAGATGAACCAATTCGAAGAGAAGTGACTCGCCCCCTCTGAGTCCGGAGATGGAAAGGGCAATGGACTGGGAGACCCAGGGCAGAAGGGGGTCAATTTCCTTAATTTCCTTCCCTGCGCCCCCCCCTCCTCATTTCCACCACCAAGCCTCGGAGCTATGCCCTGGTATTGGGGAATCTGGCGAAGGAGACCGATGACCCCTCTGCCCTCCGCTGTGAATTGTGTTTTCATCTCTCAATCTGGTGGTTTTGAGGGTGGAGCCGAGAGCATCCTGGAGGATGCTCGGTTTAGGATGCTCGGTGTTCAGGAGAAACAATCCGCTTCCTACTATTAGCGACTCCTGCGTGTTAGACCTTGGAAGGAGGAATTCCTTTAAGATTTCCTTGCGTTTCTTCCTCTAGTGCTAAGGCGTACAATTGATAAATGATCTGTCAGACATGCAAAACTGGGTGTTAGCCAAAGTTATTGATAACACCTTTCTTCCATAACACTCTACCCCCTGCGATGGGTAAGTTCCTGTCTGACCTCTGTCATCACCCGCCAGCTTGTGACGAGCAAAAAGTTTGATTCTTTTCGTTTCATTTTTTTTATTTACCCTTTACTCCTCTTCCCCTCCCTTATCCTTCCCTTCCCTTCTTTTCATTTTCCCTTTTTCTTTTTATTCTTTCCTTTTGGGGGCTACACCCATGGTCCTCAAAGTCCACATCTGGCTCTGTGTTCAGGGGCCACTCATATATGGCACCAAGATTCGAACCAGGGTCACCACCAATGCCACCTGTTAGGTAAATGCCTTAATCTTTATAATATCACTTGGGAGCAATTATTATTATCTTTTGTTTAAACTAAAAAAAGCAAGTGGTAATAATTTGCATGCCACAGTAATCTTAGGTGAGATCAAATAATCCAAATAGATATGAAGAACATAGCGACAGAATTTGCAAATTGTTAGGACCCCATAGTCCTTAGCAGTTGTTTGCCTCTTCTTTAGATTTCAGACTTCTTAACTCTCTTGACTCTCTGCTTACTTTGTCATCCTCTCTACATACACAGTTTTTCTTAAGATCTGTCTCATCTACATTGAAGCATTACCATATTTGGGTAAATATTTCCATCAAAGATCTGAATGAGCACTTGCCTTCTGATGCCTGTTTCTGCCAAATTATTCACAAAAATGTCACCATTCAAGAAAAAAAGGGACTGGGAAGAATCCTAACAGCATTTGGTGGCTCCAGTCTTTCATTAGAAGATGAAAATGATTCTGCACAAAGGCCTGAGATTCACAGAAACTATAACAGCCCCTCTGCACTCTGCTGGGTACCCAGGAAGTGCTAGTCTGATCCTGGCTGTGAATAACAGTGCCTGCATTCACACAGTGAATGGGATGGATGTGACTCTGTGTGCTCTGTGAAGAATTGGCCCACACCAAGATACAGACAATTGGTAAACAGGGTCCTCAGAGTCTTGGAATCCAGCTTGGACTGTGGGGGGGTGGGGGGTAACAAGACTGAAGCAGAGCAACAGGGCTGACAGGGTTAGGGGTGAGGGCAAACCAACAACTTAGCCAACTGTATAATTGTGGCTTTTAAGTACTTATACACTGACGGTTGTGTGACCTCATTCCTGCGTCTGTTTTGCTTGCCTTTGCTAATAATCATGCTTGTGGGGGATAGAGAATGAAGACATTGCCATTGGTAACCCAGTAAGCAACAGACCATCCAATGAATCTCAAATGTCTTTCTTCTCTGTGACACCTTCCCAACCCATCACCACTTTCCACATCCCCAGACCTCGGAACTTGTGTAATAGTTTAGTTTCATGTTGATTGTGGCATCTGTTGCCCTTCATGCTCAGGGTATTTACACACTGATTACAGGTCATTTTATTTATTTATTTTGTCATTCGGGTCATACCTTACCTTAGCTCAGAGCTTACTCCTGGTTCTGCACTCAGGGACCACTCCCGGTACATAGGGGAACCATATGTGGTACTGGGGAATCAAACCTGGGTCTGCCACATGCAAGGCAAGTGCTGTGCCTGTTGTATTATTGCCCTGACCCGTCTGATTGCAAAACTTAAGATTCTATAGAAGGGTGGAATCATTTTGCTATGTTTTCCCTTTGAGCATATTAAGTGCCTGGTAGATATGGTAAAACCATCTGCTCTGTGCTGTGCCACTGTGGAACTTTCCTTGACACTTGTTGTCACCCAAGGTCATTTCTTCCTGTCATTGGTTGGTTTTCAATCCAACTTCCTGTATAAATCATGACATCGAACCAGCTCACTCGGACATAGGTTTTTTTCTCACCCAACTCTTCTTTAAAATACCCATAAGGAGGCGTGGAGCAATAATACAGCAAGTAGGGCATCTGTCTTGCATGAGGCCAACCCAGGTTTTATTCCTAGTTTGATCTTATATAGTACCCTGAGCATCACCAGGAATAATTCCTGAGCATCACGAAGTGTGGCCCAAATAGAAAATAAACAAAATAACAATTAAAATACCCATTGAGAGCTGGGAAAAATAGAGGGGTTGAACATCTGGTTTTTCACCCTGTCAACCTTGGATCAAATCCGTATATTGCATATGGTCCCCTAAGGACCTCCAGGGGTAACTCCTGAGCAAAGAACCCAGAATATCCCCTGAGCACCACTGGGTGTGGCTCAAACTTCTCTGTAAACTCTTTTGGAATAAAACAAACAAAAAATTGAATTGGCTACCATTCAAATGATAGACACATGCCCTGATTTTAGTCCATGGCAATGCCATAGTGGTCCTAGTGTTCCCTGGGCATCCTGGAATAGCACTGTACTACCAAAAAAGGAGCACCAGTTAGAACCTGCAGGTCACATGTCAGGTTGAGCATCGCCAGCCCAGTCTTCGATTTTTATTTCTTAAAGACCTTTGTTGATGTCTGAGTGCTTAATCATCCACTGTCTGAACAGGTTTTTATTGTGTGTGATCTTCTGTAGGGGGCAAGGTTAAGGCTAGCAGAAAATTTGAGTCCCAGTAAATGGCCGAGAGACTGGGGAACTAAGAAACTCATTCTGCAGGATCTCCTCCAGACACAAAACTGGAGAATAGCTCCAGGCACACTCACAGTTTCAACACTTTCAGACAGGGTGGCTTCCGGGTTTGTAATCCTACATGTGTACATACAGAAAATTTACTTGGGAAAGAATATGTATTTAATGGACTCAAATTTAACTCCGTGCTTCCAGAGAGTAGCAGACAATTAGAATGGCATCTGATGTTCTGATTCTCTCTCCTTTGGGTAACTCAGAGGCCCGGGATGTCCACAGAGCTTGGGATATAAAAGCTGCCACCCTCAGTCCCTCAATAGTTCACTCTGCAGCCTTTCTTCAGACCCATCAGGCTTTCCAAGTAGGCTGCTCACAGTTTCTCTGGCCAGCACAAAGCTATTCAGGCATCAGGAGGCCCGAAGGGCTTCTGCAGGATCTTGGGTTCCCTATGCCCTCTCACTACTCACTTTCTTTCTTTCTTTCTTTCCTTCCTTCCTTCCTTCCTTCCTTCCTTCCTTCCTTCCTTCCTTCTTTCTTTCTTTCTTTCTTTCTTTCTTTCTGCGTCACACCCAGCAATGCTTAGGGATTATTTCCAGCTCTGCACTCAGGAATTACTCCTGGAGGTGCTTGGGGGACAATATGGGATTCTGGAAATCGAACCTGGGTCTACTGCATGCAAGGCAAGCACCCTTACCTGCTGTGCTATCGCTCCAGCCCCTGTTGGCATCTTCTTGAGAAAGTTTCTCTTGTGGCTTACTCCTTGCTTCGCTCTCCTCAAATGCATCTTCTCTTTCCTTCATTTCACATTTGCTTTTGCTTTCCTGGCCACACCCAGCAGTGCTCAGGGCTACTCCTGATTTAGTGCTCAAGGGTTGCTCACTGAAAGTTTTCATGAACCATGCAGGACCAGAGAAAGAACCCAGGTCTCCCACATGCAAATCATGCACTCCAGACCATGGCGCTACCTCCCAGGCCCATGAAGGCCTCTTCTCTTTATTTCCAAAACTTGTTTTCCCAATTAAACACTTCCTTCCCGCAACATGTAAAACATTCCTCAGAGTCAGGGTGTAGAGCGATAGCACAGCGGTAGGGCGTTCGCCTTACAAGCGGCCAACATGGCTGACCCGAGTTTGATTCCTCCGCCCCTCTCTGAGAGCCCGGCAAGCTACCGAGAGTATTCGATATGCCAGACACAGTAACAACAAAGTCTCCAATGGAGACGTTACTGGGCCCGCTCGAGCAAATCGACGATCAACGGGAGGGCCTTTACTTACTTACTTTACAGGGTGTAGAGGGGTTCAGGGTTATTTCACTCTGTCATCATCCTGAAGCTAGAAAATGGCACAACTCTTGCTCTTTTCTGGAAATACCTGAAGAGAAGATGTGCAGCAAAGTAAACCTACCCTGCATCTCAATAAACTGTGGCCAAAACATTAACATTAGCTTAACAAAGAAAATCAATACTTCCAGAAGAACTAGATGAAAGATGGAAATTATAGTTGTGTCCTTACGTAGCCCAGTGCTGGCTTGAAATGTATCCTCACCTCTTCTTTTCTCCACTACCCTAAGCCGAGGTCAGATGTTGAAGTTCTTTGTCTTACCATCTTTCAATGTGATCCATTATGGACACAAAGTCATTGCAGGTATAATTGTTCAAATCAGATCGTATCAGAATAGAGTGGATGCTAATTCAACAACGTGTTCTGAGAAC